GCACTTGGGAAGCAAAGGCAGGCAGATCTCCAAGTATGAGGCCAGGGTGGTCTACAGAGCAAGTTTCAGGGCAGCCAGGGCTACACCATTAAACCGTATCTCAAAAAGCCATAAAGAGAAAAATAATTTAAAAACTAACTAAAAACATATAGTAATCAAGATAGTACAGCAATAACAAAAGCGATAAATGGAATGGGACTGAAACTTCAAAACAAAACTATCACATTCTAGGTCATCAAGCAGTCTAGCAAGATGTTAACAAAATTCAATGACAAGTCAGGCGGTGGTGGCCCACACCTTTAATCCCAGCACTCCATGAGGCAGAGGTAGGTATATATCTGTAAATTCAAGCCCAGACTGGTCTACAAGGGGTTGGGGGAGGAGGGGAGGAAATCAATGACAGAAAAAGCTTCCTTTTGATAACTAATGGTGGAACAGCTAGAAAGCCATATGCCAGAGAATCTAATTGAATGGCCATCTCACAGAAAAAACAAGTTAACTCAAAGTACATTACAGGTCTAAATCCAAGACCCCAACTAAAAACACAGCATTACCTCTTTCCCTTGAGAGTTAGGGATATAGCTGAGTGGTAGCATGTCGTGAATGTCCTGGGTTCAATCCTCAGCACCACAAAAAACAAACAACTCAACAATCTTTCAGTTTGGGTTACACAAAAGTTTCTTAAACATGACATCAAAGTATGAAACACAAGGAAAAAATAGATACTGTGGACTTAATAAATTAATACTAAAATTAACTTTTAATGCATCACAGGGAACTATCAATAAAGTAAAAAGACAACTAAAAAAAAGAATGAAGTATTTGTAAATCATATATCTGGTACACTCCTAATCTACAAACTACATAAAGAACTATACAAAATACATAACTCAACAGCACTAATACAGATGACCAATTTAAAAATTGGCAAGGATAAAGAAGATATAAACAGGCAATAACACATGAAAATAATGCTCAACATACTAATTATTTGAGAAATGCAAACATACTAGGATCATTATTAAAAAACAAAATAAGATGAGTTAAGTGTATTGCTATGGAGAATGATGGAAGAAGAACCCTCATACATTCCTGACAGAAATGTAAAATGGTGTAAGTTGTCATGGAACAGTTGGTACAAAGTTAATATGGAATTATTACATGACACAGCATTTCCATTACAGAAATGAAATCACTTGTATCCCCAAATGTGCACAAACGTTCAAAATGCAGCACTCTTTACAGTGAGCAAAAGATGTAAGCAAGCCAAATACCATAAACCTATGAATGATTAAATAAAATGCTACAGTGGGATATTATTAAGTATAAACAAGAGTACCAACACAAGCCAAACAATGAGTGAACCTTGAAGACATTCAGTTAATGAACGATAATAGACAGAAGAGCAGTGTGCTAAGATTCAACTTATAGAACAGTCAAGAATAAGCAAATCCTCCAAGACAAAAAATAAATTACCCACTGCCTGGGCTACATGTAAAAAGTAGAAGTCTTTAATAGATAGAAAGTTTCCTTAGTGATAAAACTGTTCTGAAACTACACCATGGCCACTGCAGAGCACCATGAATATAACACCGCTAGCAGAAAATACTAAATGAAAGAAAGCAGACACAAAGGACTGAATATTGATGATCCCATTTACATATGACATCCAGAGCAGGCAAATTCATGGCATCATAAGATGCAGGGAAATGTGGCTATTGCTAAAGAGTATCAAGTTTCTTCTCGGATTAGATACTGCTGTGGCTGCACAATTCTGTGAATGTACTACACACCACTCAACTGTTTTTCTGAAAGGAAGAATTTACAGAACGTGAATATATCTCAACTTTAAAAGTTGAACTAGAACTAGGGCTAAAGAGTCTTATAAAACCATCATCTCTACTTTCACATCCTACAAAGCCTGAGAACACTTCAGAGTGAATTATTTAAGGTATTAACTTACTTAACATACTGAAGTTTGTTAGTAACAGAGCCAGGATTAGGATATAAGATACTTCTAATTTAGTTCTCAGACATTGGGGGAAAAAGCCAGAAAATTAAAATCTTTTAGCCAGGGGTAGTATAGTACACCTATAATCTCAACTCTCAGAAGGATTGCAAATGAAAGACTAGCCTAGACTGCAAAGTGATCCCCTGCTTCAAAAAAGAAAAAGAAGATCAGTCTTTATAATTCTTTTAAATATTGTGTTAAAACTAATGCCCTGATATTCCAAACCCTTCATTAGTTAATCATTTTGCAAACACAAAAATTCAATTTCACTGGTATTTTAAAAAGCACTTGGAATTGCTAAAAATTTATTCATTTATCATTCATAGATTAATGCTTTCAGCAATTTAATAAAATGTTACCTAATTTTTCTTTTAGAAAATCCCATTACATAAAATCTTTGAAATTCTAAGCCAAATTAACAGTGTTTTATTTCATATTTTAGCATGTATAAAATTAAATTCTTTATTTAGTGTGTATGTGCATAAATGCACATGCATGTATATGTGGGTGCATACCTTCAACTGGACACATGTGGAGGTCAGAATACCCATGTGTCTAAGGAATGGCAAACTTGGCAGCAGGCACCTATACCAGGTGAGCCATTTACTGGCCTGTTATTAATAGTTATCTTTTTAATCAAATTAAATTTGTGTGCCTATATATGTGCGCTTGTGTGCTCACACACACAAGTTTGTGAAGAAAAATCTACCTTTCCTTTTGTTGTTCTGAAGACAGGATTTCACATAGCCCAGGGGGAACTGTAGCTAGCTTATTTCAAGGATGAATCTGAAATCTTGTGAGCCCCCTGCTTGCACCTCTAGAGTGCCTGGATTACAGGCTTAGGCAGGACTCTGCCTAATCAAACACAGTAATCAAACACAGGGTCTCTGTTATGCTATGCCAGGACTCTACCCAGTGATCTACATCTCCAACTTTATCATCATTTTTTTCAAAAGTTAGACAGCCCTACAAATCTAGAGTTGGAAGCCTATGTTACTTCCAACATTGGTTGTGGTCATTATTGACCACTTCAACCAATAGAGGATGATAGAAGTGATCTTTGCAATTCCTAATCTGATAAAAACTGATCCAAATCATTGTTTCCTATCACTTAATTTGGAGTGGTATACAATAAAACAAAGATAATCCAAATAGTACATATGGTATTTATTATAAAAACAGTTCTTATCTACAATGAATACTCTTTCTACAGCGTCCTATAATCATACAGATTCCCCTGCACCCCCCCCCAAAAAAGAGGATAGTATTTTAAAAGTTTTAATACATTTATTTGTCTATTTTTCCTGTGATTTCCAGTGTGTGAGGGAGGTCAAAGGACAACATTCAGGACTTCTGCCCTCTGGTTAGAACCCAGTGATTTAAGTCAGGTCATCAGGCTTGTTGGCAACTACAATTACCCACTAAGCCATCTCATTAGCTGATTAAAATTATGTTTTTTAAGTAGGCAAGAAAAAGCTCTTTCAATTACCTAAAATTATAACTTAATACTTTAGTATGTTACAGAAGTCAAAATACACCCACTCAACATCATGTAAATAAAGTACAACATCATACATGAGTTTAGGCTTCTGTAATTATGCATGTCTCATCATCTGGATGCAATTCTAGACAATGAGTCTGAATTCAGGGGGACTGAGGATGGAGCTGGGTTGTAGAATGTTTTGTCTAACAGAACCACATGGTAGTGCTGTAATCTCAGCACTTGTGTAGAGGCAGAAAATTCAAGGTCATTCTACACAGGGAATACTTTTGCTGTTAATAGGACACATCTTAAAGCTGAGATTACCCAGGATGTCCTGTTAATTACACATTTGACTTTCTGACTTGATGGATAATTTAGAAGTCTCTCTCCCTCCCCTTCTACCCCAACCCCCTTTTTCCAAGACAGGGTTTCTGTGTGAAACGGTACTGGCTGCCCTAGAATTCACTCTGTAAACCAGGCTAGCCTTGAACTCACAGAGATTTGCCTGCCTCTGCCTCCCAAGTGTTGGTATTAAAGACATGCACCACCACCACCTGGCTTTTTTTTTTTTTTTAAATGTAGATTGCTCTGCATATACACCTACATGCCAGAAGAGAGCATCAGATCCTATTATGGACAGTTGTGAGCCACCTGTGGTTGCTGGGAGTTAAACTTAAAGCCTCTGGAAAAGTAGACTTCCCTCTTTACTGATGAGCCATCTCGCCAGCCCCAAGATTTTATCTTTCAGAGTTTCTCTGTAGTTTTGGAGTCTGTCCTGGAACTAGCTCTTGTAGACCAGGCTGGTCTTGAACTCACAGAGATCTATCTACCTCTGCTTTCTAAGTGCTGGGATTAAGGGTATGAACTACCACCCAATATTTTATCTTTCAAATCATTGATAAATTCAGGTTCTATCTATACCTTCTAGGTGATTTAAACAAAAATATTTGACTTGACTGGGTTGGTGTTAAAGAATGAATGAGAAAAGTATGGAGAGTTCTGAGCAAGTGGAAGTGCCAAAAAATCCCAGGACTGAGGTTACAGATACAAGAGGATGGGGAATTCAAAGCCACCTTAGGCTACACAAACTTCAGCTTTAAAAAATAACCACAAAACAAAACAAATCCTCAGGACATAAAAAAGGAACAACTTTTAAACCTAACTTTAGAAATTAAGAGTGCTGCTCTTTGTCTAGCATGTACAAAGCATGATAAAGATGTTGTTTGCCTGGGCGTGGTGAGGCAGGAGGAGCTCAAATTTAAGGCTAACCTGAGTATCACAGAGGTCTCCCCAAAACCAAAGCTAAATAAATATAAAATATTGTCTCCCAACAGGAACTTACAAAATAACTGCTGCTTGGCAGCAGCAAAGAGAAAATCCTAACAACAGAGTGCAGTCATTCTGTTACTCCTAATAAACTGTTTTAAATGCATATTACTAAATGCAAATATCAATTCATATTAAATGGGATAAGCATTTCAGTGTCAGAATGCAATTTACAGTTACCTTGATCAAGTATTTTTCCCATCGGTCTGCTGTAACAGATTTGCCAATCTTCCTCATCAGCTTCAGATGGAGCTCCACCAATTCTTTTGGTACTTAAAAGGAAGGGAAAAGTTCTGTTAGCCAACAAAATAAAATATTTACAAACATTTTAAAAAATCAAAAATATAAACCTACTTCTTCTAGTCCTGAATCCTTTCTCAAAACCCAGAATGCTGTAGGTTCTACTTTCTTTATCCTTGAATCCTTAAAAGCCTAAACAAGAGTGAAAAATGACTAAATACTATTTTCTGATACCTAATATTTCAAACTACCATTAGGAACGAAACCTATTATAAACTACAGAGTAAGTCACAGTAGTTTCATGGTCACAGAGGCCTCACACAGTGCAAGACCCCTGGGGGAGCACAGCAAAGACAATACTCGGAACTTTCTGCTGCTTCATTTCCCCGTGAATAGAAAACTGCTCAGAAAAAAACTAGAGATGTAGCTCAGTGGTAGAGCACTTTGCCTAGCATGTAGAGGTAACAAGTTCAACCTCCCTCCCATTTATACAGTAAGTAAATAACAATCAAATAAAAGCACTTAACTAAACAACTAAAATTTCTTAGTGCTCTTCACACTATACATTTGGCTTCTAGACCAAGATATAAAGTCATACAATGAGAAAGGAATAGATGAATATACATCTCAGGTTGGTGAACATTTTAGAAACTGGCCAACAGTGGTCAAACTTTAAAAAAAAAAAAAAGACTAAACTAAAAAATGTTCTTCAAATCTAACTCCTATATGATCAGCTAAATTTCTCTGTAACATCCTATGGAACCCTGCCTGCCAACCTTCTCAGACTATAATGAATGAATTAATGAATGAATGAAGCAAGCCAGGTGGTCGTAGCGTAGTAGCAGACGCCTTTAATCCCAGCACTTGTGAAGCAGAGACAAGAGGATCTTTGTGAGTTTGAGGCCAACTCTACTGAGCAAGTTCCAGGACAGGCTCCAAAGCTACATGAGAAACCATGCCCCCCCCAAAAAAAAAACACTGGCTCCACCCATTGAACAGGACACGACTGACCATTACGACCATCTTTAAGAGGAACTCAACCTTCCTACACCTTCCTCACTGGGTTTTGACTCTTACTCAAACTTCAAAATGCTGTCTTCCCTCAGGTTCACTGTTCTTACTGCAAACAACCAGAGTTCCTCTAAATATCCCTCAGGTATGATCTGATTGTTTTTAAATTATATTAATTAGACCCAAAGGAAATATATAGGACAGATATGCCTACCAAATTTTGAATTTCCCAAATCCCAAATACCACTAGCAACATAAAAGAAATTATGGATACCAGCTGGGCAGTGGTGGTGCATGCCTTTAATCCCAGCACTTGGGAGGCAGAGGCAGGCGGATGGATCTCTGTGTGTTCGAGGCCAGCCTGGTCTACAAGAGCTAGCTCCAGGACAGCCTCCAAAGCCACAGAGAAACCCTGTCTGGAAAAACCAAACTGAGATAAGAGTGCAGGGCAACATCTGAAGTAGATTCAAGGAAACATCTGTAAAGATGAGTATGGCCTGAACTAAGCCTGAATACTGGGAGCAACAGACATAGCAGTGAGCAGACCTGAGAAATGTTTTAGGAAATAAAATCAACAAAATGTGTGACAGGCTGGCAATGCAGTAACCAAGTGAGGTGCTAGCTTAGGAAACCCAAGAGGCAAAGATAAAGCAGTGCCAAGGCTCAATTCTCAGTTCTTCAATTCAAATGGTCAGGTCCTTTGGCACTGAGCCTTGACTTTCTAATGTGTGTTATAAGACTATGGTTATCTCCAAATGTTTTCAAACAGCAAAGCACTGTATAGAAAACACTTTTGATGTATTTGTCATGATACTGGAAACTAAGATCACCTTTAACTCCTCTCAAACACTCAGTTTACAGTTTACCCTCACTACACCTCAGGCCTGCTACCTTCTAACCTCAGTGTACTACATCTCAAACTGCTGTTCTTCCCCGTCTTTCTAGAACATACAGAGAAGGCCATAACCCTCACTGCAGAAAAAATAGTCAATCTGCGCGGTGGTGGTCAGGCACACCTTTAATCCCAGCACTTGGGAGACAGAGGCAGATGGATCTGAGGGTTCGAGGCTGGCCTGGTCTAGAGTTCCAGGGCAGCCAAGGCTACACAGAGAGACCCTGTCTCGAAAAACCAAAAAAATGAAATGAAATAAAATAAAATAAAGGATAGTACATACTCAAACCAATATCCCAATTTAGCAGTTGGTGATTAGGTGGAAACCCCAACTCTCTCTCTCTTCTCTCTCCCCTTCTCCCCCCCCCCCCAGATCCTGCTCCTTCAGAAAGCCCTCCAAACAGCAGGCCCTCCCCAGGGCTGCTCAAGACCATGCCTATAAGCTACTGAAAACCTGGCCACCATATTTGCCATGTGATTCCTCTCCTGCCCTTCAGAGGGTCACCCAGGAGTGCTCTGTTCTGTTCATTAAACCTGGATTTATTATTTTGATTTGATTGGCTTATAACATCAGCAGTGGCCCATATCCAATAATGAGGGATTCAAACTTATCAGTTGGTAAATATTTTTATAGTCTATAAAATACTATACACTCATTTAAAATTTCTTGCTCGTGCCTCAGAGTCCTGACAATTATTTTCAACCTAATTTCCAAACCCTTTCTCTTACACCTGCACTGAAATCCTCAATAGAAATCACTTTGGTCTGGTCAGGCAGTGGTGACATACTCCCATCGGCAGAGGCAGGCCGATCTCTGTGAGTTCTAGGGTACTCTAGTCTACAGAGTAAGTCCAAGCCAGCCAAGCCCCCCCCCAAAAGACCCCTCTCAAAAAATCCAAAATGGGGGAAAAATCACTTTGATCTGTTTACTGCCCATTAAACCTATCCTAGCTGTTGCTCATGAGTGCCTTGTGGAACCTTCCAGCTAATTTCCATATCCTTACATGAATCATATTCACCTTTCAATGACAGGGGAATGTAAGGCTCTGGCTTTCCATTACCAGTATTTTACTGCCTATACCAAGTGGTGATTCAGACACCAGTTTCTAAACATACCTACCACATCACACAGAAATCATGGAAGATTTTATTCTGTTGGCATTACTTTTTAAAAAGCTAAGAGAAAACAAAATTCAGCACTCAATAAGCATGCTTTTCATTATGTTTACAAGTCTTGTTTGTGTTGATTTAAGTATATAAAAACAGAAGTACTGAATTTATTAGGGTGTTGGCTTTTATATAGGGAAGCCACATGTAAGTGGTGCCTGCAGTGTGGGAGAGTACAGAGTTTGCATATTTAATTAAAATCCATAACTCCTTATTTGGTAGCTATGGTGAATAGTTTGAATGAAAATGGGACCATAGGGGAGCGGCACAGTTTGAAAGGATTAGGAGGTGTGGCCTTATTGGAGGAAATGTGTCACTGTGGTTGGGCTTTGAGGTTTCAAATAGCCCATTCCAAACTGAGTTTCTCTCTTCCTGCTGCTGCCTGTGGATTTGCTCTTGGAACTCTCAGCCACCTCTTCAGCACCATGTTTGCCTCCATGACCAGCTGTGACAATGGACTAAACCTCTGAACTGTAAGCACTCCCCAGTTAAATGAATTTCTACGAGTTGCTGTGATCATGGTGACCCTTCACAGCAAAGGAACACAGACTAACACAATAAGTAAACTTATTTAAGTTTTGGTTACAGAGAAGAGCTAAATTGTAATGATCTTTAAGGCCACTGAATTTAACTGATGTGAATGTAAGTACCCACACAGGCCATTAGAGGGCATTGGAGCCTGAGTTATAGGCAGTGGTGAACCAGCCAACATGGTTACTGAAAACTGAATCCAGTCTTCTAAAAGAGCAGCAAGAGCTCCTAATTGCTGAGCTGTCCCTGAAGAACTAGAGCTAAGCTTTTACTTTTACTTATTCTTTAAGCTTTTTGAATTCTATGTATTTAGTGTAGTTCTGACAGACAACAACTTAACCAGAGTAGGTGGTTAATGGAGTTCAAATTCAGGTTATCAGGCTTGGCAGCAAGTACCTTTATTTTACCTGCTGAGCCATTTTGCCAACCCTAATTCTCTTTAATTCTATTTTTTTTTTTTTTGTTTTGTTTTGTTTTGTTGTTTTTGGAGACAGGGTTTCTCTGTGTAACTTTGGAGCCTATCCCCGCACTCACTGTGTAGACCAAGCTGGTCTCAAACTCACAGAGATCCGCCTGCCTCTGCTAGGACTGTATGTGTACACCGTCGCCACCAGGCTTAATTCTGATTTTTAAAAAAAGTAATTTATTTGTTTAGTATACATTGGGGCTTTGCCTGCATGTATATCTGTATGAGAGTATCAGATCCCCTGGAACTGGAGTTACAGGCAGCTGTGAACTGCCATGTGAGCGCTGGGAATTGAACCCAGGTCCTGTGGAAAAACAGCCAATGCTCTTAACCATTGCCATCTCTCCAGCTCCAAATCCTGTTGTTTAGATAGTATAACTTTACAGCAACTCATAATGCCTAATATCTTCCTCAATCCTTTAAAAGTCTGTTATTTAAATTTTCTCTAAACCTATGAGCAGACACGTACTTAGGATTATAAAGACTTCTTTATCTTGGTCACGGATGAGAGAACACTGACTTCAGACAGTGGCTAGAACACAAGCTTGCAAGAAGCTTTACTTTCTGCCCAATTCTTAGAAACTGTTGGGGAGTAGAGTTTTAGAATAAGCAGACTGATCCCCTCAGGGGATCAGAAATCACCCTCATGTATTCATCATATACCTTATCTTCAAAGAATTCACTTAACCAATCATCTTAGTTTTCTGAAAAACAAAGAAATGGCTCAAGACAGTGAACTACATCTTAGACCTCCTGAAAAAAGCACAAGTCAGATTCTAAGGCAAGAACAATATAAACAACTACACTCAGCTCTTCACCTTGTTTAACAATGTATCCAAGGACAGCCAAGAGGCAGGCAGGGGACTAAGGAGTCTTTCCACCCTACTCTAGTTTCAGAATTCCATTCCAAAAGGAATTTCTGTTCTCATAGGTAAAGAAACACAACCAAAATGGCTCAGATTATA